ATTGTGAAATCACAAAATGAGTGAAAGATTTGTCGACCTATTATAGTCTGCTCAATTTTCGGTGAATTATTGTAAAGGTCTTTAAATTGACGAATACATGTACATTTAGTGGATTATAGCGTTATGATCACTAGCATTCGCAACAGGAATCAACGGCAATAATCTTTTTTCGCTTGATCCCGCTTTCAAAAACAAATTAAAAGCACTATATATTCATTCTGTGAGTTCGATGACTATAGTGAAAGAGGATCACCGTCATCGGTGCYTATACATCCTAAAGTGTTTTCTTGTATAGAATCAACAATGTTACTAATTCACTCTTCAACTGAACACTCACAGAGCCGTACTGGTCGTACGAATCTTAAAGGGCGAAGAACTTCCACCRTACATGGGTCAAGCACCAGACGTGTTTATGGAGGCAAAACTTTCACCGACCATGAAAAACGGACAACTCAAGACAGAGATCCACGAGCGAACATCACATCCAACGTTTAATGAGATTTTTGACTTTGGACTGTCGTACGAAGAAATACGACGCCAAACATTGCATTTCACTGTATGTTATATGGATAGGTAAGCCATKCTATCAATTTCACTGAACTTATCACCAATACGCATTGTGAATAGGCTAGGGGACTACCCCATTCCCAGTTCWAAAAAATATGAAATTGAAAAATATCCTGGTGTCATTCATTGCCTTACAGTTATATTCTTCAATCGATTGACATTTGATAAAATTGAAAATATTCAGTTAATAACTTATTAAGTTTGAACAATGGTTATGGTTCTAAGTTCCCTCTAGGAACTGATCCCACAATGCATTGAAATTCAAGTAGTGACGTAAAAGGTTCAGAAGCCTATTATCTGCCAGGATAGAAATCTTGACAAATTAAACCCCTGTTTACCCTGGTTCCGTTCCAGAGGTTTTCTTTTGTTCAATAGTTGTTTTTCATTTTGTATTTTTGTCGTTAAAGCTCAAAAGCAAAGACAAAAACACAATAAAAAACTTGTATAAAAGAAAAGAAAATCTCTGAGACCAGGGTAAACCTTGTTAGAAGAAAACTTCTTAATTGTGACACAGAAAGACTTTCAATTCAGTATAGACCTATTTAGAACGTACTCATGCTTACAGCTTTCAATTCCTGCGAATATTTGATCGAATCCTTCAAAATTAAACACTCGCGTTTCTTGAAATGCAACTCGGTTTTGACAGTTTCCAACGCCATGTTGCTGGGAAGCCCTGCCTTTGTACCTGGCTATGAATGATTGCTTTAGAAGAAAAGATTTATAGCTGTAAACTCAAATAAACTCAACCATCGTTTTGTTTAGCTAGATTTTCAATATGACGCTGTGAACTGTTAAGAGTACTCACTGACGAACGTGGACACTTCTTTTAGTCTTTGTCGTTCTATGCGCCTGCGTCTTTAATCTTATAC